CCCCCACTGCTGTTCTGTCCCAGGAGCCCAGATCCCGCCGCTGTTGAAACTGATCAGCGGCTGATTCCAGGAAGCCGGGGGCAGAGCAACTCTGCCTAGGGCTTCCTGTAGTCAGCCGCTGATCAGTTTCAGCAGCGGCTGAATCTGGAGCCAGTTCTGACTTACATACAAATTCAACTTAAGAACAAACCTACAGTCCCTATCTTGTACGTAACCCGGGGACTGCCTGTACTGGCAAATCATTTCTAGGGTAAGCTAGGTCTTCCAAAGCATCCCGAGGGCTATGTGCAGTGTACTGAATATGTATAAATATTAAAGATGGATCATCCCGTCTGTTCCCTTGGTCCCTACCACCATGACTCCCTTCTCCCCCAGAAAAAGAACTTCTATCTCCACATAGACGAAAAGGGCTGTCCTGGTTCTCTTCATCCTCAGCCCTCCTTGTGCTGGCTATCACTTCATGAAAATGGGTAAATACTTGTCTCTTGCAATAGACTCAGTCATTCAGTGAACTGGTTGTAGAACTGGGTGGCAGAACTGTTTAGGCCTGTCTCTAGCCTAGGAAAAATCTCTCTTTATTTTCAACCAAGTTAGCTCAAACTTGATTGAAAAAGAACCTTTTCCCTAGGTGAGACGAAGCCTGCGTCTCATTTCCCAGGCCTGTCTTCCAGTCACTAAGCCATGCTCTCACTCTCGTGAAAAGTAATCTGGACTAAACCCGTTGTAGTGTAGTCGTGAAAACACGTCTAGTGACGTTGCTGTAAAGATGTCAATTTAAAAATATCTAAGCTCACAATGAAGATCAGTTAGCCAACGGAATTATTGGCCAAAGGGTATTACCTAAGACAAGTATTGTCCCTTATGTGTCTAGGAGACTACATAAACTGTAAGCGATTCTAAGACAGCTGTATAGGGATGTTAAGGACTAGTCGACTAGTTGCTTCCCCCCTCCCCTTGCTGCATCTATCACGTAGAGGCAGCAAGTGGGGAGGAAGGGGGTACTTCAAAGCAGCAGCTCGACGTGGCACTGCCGCTTTGAATGCCACGGGGAACCCAGCGTCAGACTCCTCGCGGCATTTCAAAGCGGCAGCGCTGCTTGGAGCCCGAGATCAGTCCCCAGCTGATCCCTGACTCCAAGCAGCGCTGCTGCTTTGAAATGCTGCAAGGAGCCCAAGGCCGGGCGCCCTGCAGCATTTCAAAGCAGCGGCGCTGCTTGGAGCCCAGGATCAGCTGGGGACTTCCCCGCTGACCCCAAGCTCTGTGTGGCGTTGCCACCTTGAGACTGCCGCAGTGCCACATGGAGCCTGGGGTCAGCAGGGAAGTCCCCAGATGACCCTGGGCTTTGGGCACTTTCGCCTTTGAAGTGTAGCAACAGCCCTAGGGCAACACCCCCACTTCAAAAGCGGAGGTGCCCTATCGACTAATCAAATAGTCGATGCAAAAATGCGTCGTCTATTCGATTAGTCAATTACCTGATACTTAACATCCTTTCAGCTGTAGTGTTAATGCAGCCGTGACCTTTCACCTCATGCTGCAGAATCTTGTTCTTCCTGACATTCTTCTCTTCACAGCTGAGCGTGCTCTAGACACCATGAACTTTGATGTGATCAAAGGCAAACCCATCCGCATTATGTGGTCTCAGCGGGACCCGTCCCTGAGGAAGTCAGGGGTTGGGAACGTCTTCATCAAGAATCTGGATAAATCCATAGACAACAAGGCACTTTATGACACATTCTCAGCATTTGGGAATATTTTGTCCTGCAAGGTGAGATCGGTACCTTCCCTAAACCCAACTTTGTGTAAGAATCCACCTTCCACAGTACTGACAAAAATGAGTAGTGAGCTGGAGCACATGATTTGTGAAGAGAGGCTGAGGAATTTGGGCTTATTTAGTCTGCAGCAGAGAAGAGTGAGGGGGGATCTGATAGCAGCCTTCAGCTGCCTGAAGGAGGGTTCCAAAGAGGATGGAGGGAGGCTGTTATCTGCCACCACTGAGGACAGAACAAGGAGCAATGGGCTCAAGTTGTGGTGGGGGAGGTCAAGGTTGGAGATGAGGAAAAACGATTTTCCTAGGTAGGTGGGGAAGCACTGGGATGGGTTCACTAGGGAGGGGGTGGAGTCTCCATCCCTAGAGGTTTTTAAGTCCCAGCTTTACAAAGCCCTGGCTGGGATGATTTAGTTGGGATTGATCCTGCTTTTAGAAAGGGGGTTGGACTCGATGACCTCTGAGGTCTCTGATTCTATGATGTGACCCAACTAAACACTCACCCAGGGAGTGAAAGCAAGGGTCTCCACTATGCTTGGGCAAGCGAGTCTCCAAAAGCCAAACAGAAAAGGACACAGCAGAAGAGGAAGGATCATTGAATTAGACTGGATCTTGGTCATCCAGGCGCAGAGCCGTGCACGGTATTGAAAGCCTCTCCTTGAAATCCCTCGCTGGGTCTGTCCCTTGGCGAGACTTGTTTTTCCTCATTGACACACCACTGGTCGCGAGTACAACAAACGGAAAAAGCAGCTGATGACATTAGCGAGAGCGCAAGTTTCGGGCTGTGACGGAGTGGGTTCAGGTTCAGGTTGTAGCTGGCATGTGCTTTAAATCTGGGACTGTTTATAGTGCATCAGCTTATACTCCTGTAGAGTGCGTCAGTCATAGATCTGAGTGCTTCCCAAGGGAGGGTAGGGATCATCCGCCCTTCCCAGAACGGAAAGCTGAGGAGGACAGGTGAAGTACCTTGCTCCAGGTCCTATAACAGGTAGGTGGCATGTTGCGGACCAGAACCCAGGACTTCCTGTCGACAGGACCATGCTGTTCTCCAGTGTTTCGTTTCTGTTCTTATTTATTTGAATGGCGCCAAGAAGCCCTAGTCAAGACCCAAAGCCCCCTTGTCACCTTATTCACACCTTCTGTGTCAATCGAGGGAAGCTGACGATGTGTCTGCTGTTATTCTGTGCCCAGGGTTGTCTGTCTTAATGCAGCGCTGATCTGTTTTGTTCCATTGCTTGCAGGTGGTGTGTGATGAGAATGGCTCTAAGGGCTACGCATTTGTGCACTTTGAGACCCAGGATGCTGCAGACAGAGCCATCGAGAAGATGAACGGCATGCTGCTAAACGACCGCAAAGTGTGAGTGTCACAGCCAGCAGCAGCAACGATCGCATGAACCATGATGCATCTCGGTATTAACAGGGGACACACAAGGCTACTGGTTCTCCTGGCCCAAGCCTTGGCCTGCTACCTCTCCACTACAGGGCTGGTGAGTTTCCCTGCCCAAGCCATAGCCTGCTCCTTCTCCATTACAGGGCTGGTGGATCTCCCTGGCCCAGCCTTGATCGGCTACCTCTCCACTAATGGGCTGGGGGGTATCCGTGCCCTACGCTCTCCACTGCAAAGCTGGGTGGGCATCTTTAGCCTGCCGTCTCTTCACAATAGGACAGTTGATTCTTCTGCTGGGTTGCTGGCCTGCTGCGTCTTCCTCCGGCTCCTCCCGGACACTCATCTTTATCCCACTGCAGATCACACGTCCACCCTTGGAAAGCCGTTATTTTCTCACAGACACCCTCGCTCCTTTTCCAGATTTGTCGGGAGATTCAAGTCCCGGAAGGAGCGGGAGGCTGAGCTGGGAGCCAAGGCAAAGGAGTTCACCAATGTTTACATTAAAAACTTTGGGGATGACATGGATGATGAGAGACTAAAAGAGCTCTTCAGCAAATACGGTAAATACAGTCTTGCGGCAGCTGCAAACCCTGCGCCCAGACAGTAACGGAAAGGAGACGCTGGTGAGCAGCAGGGGCCTGCCAGCTGTAGGGCTGGTCCTGAGTAGGGATGTTCGAGTTTCCCCATTTAACCCATAAGATGATGCTTATTGGTTACTGAAGTGGTTAAATTCACCTGCCAAGACCCCACTGGCTGCCAAACCCGGGAGGGGGCGGAGCCTGTGTTGAGGGGCAGTGACCCTTGCCTCCCTACCACTACATCCCCATAAACATTTAACCATGTAACCCAGGGGTGGGGAACCTCATGGTCAGATGCGGCCCCCGGCTTGCCTGGATCCGGCCCCCAAGGCTCAGCGTCTCCCCCTCCCCCCAGCATTGTGGAGCCTGCACTGGCCCTCCAGCCCCCCTGCTGCCCCATCGCAGGGCTGGAGCGCACAAAATCTACTAGCTTGGGGCCCCTTGGGGGAAAGTGGGGAGGGGTCTTTCTGCTTCTCAGTCAGAGGCCCATGTCACTGAGGGCTTTGGGGTTTGTTTGTTTTTTGCTTCTCACTTGTGCGCGGCCCTCAATTGATTTTTCTGTGGGTCAGCAGCCTCCTACCCCAAAAAAGGTCCCCCCTCCTCCCGTAGAACTTCGATCAGTTATGCGGTTAATGGTTTTTTGTATTTTTACACCCCTACTCTTGAGTCCTTTTGAGGCCAGAGGAGCAGGATAATCCGGAAAGAATAGGTGGTTGTATCAGATGGGAAGCAGAGGCTGGAAAACGAAGTGAATGAAAGAAGGGCCGGGGTTATGTGAGGCTTTAGTTTTGCTTTTGAGAGGCCCTCCTGGAAACGTTGCGTAGCTGAGGCCCTGCTAACGCTGTCCCTTGGCAACAGGCAAGACGCTGAGTGTGAAGGTGATGACCGATCCCACTGGAAAGTCCAAAGGTTTTGGCTTCGTGAGCTTTGAAAAACATGAAGATGCCAACAAGGTACGAAATCGCCTTCGTGCCAGTCAGGTGTTTATATGGAAAAAAAGCGTGGGAAGCCGTCACCTAGCGTGGGGATGAGAACGCGGGTCCTCAGGAAAGCTGAGGGTGTTCAGAGTTGGCTCGAATAGTTTCTGCGCTTCACCAAGTTGGTTATTCATGGTTAAAGCCCATGTTCCACCAAACTACTAGATCTGTGGGGTATTGTGTGGGGTGAATCGCAGGAATTGTCTGGTCAGAGAGGCAAGATTGGGGAGACGTTGGGAAGGGTTATCTGGAACTGGCTTGATGCTCAAGAATGCTCTTCCCTCAGAGTAGGTCTGACAGGATTTGTGGTCGAGAGCTGAACAATCGTGCACGTATTTCCACTAAGTCTGTGGAGAACTTCAAAAAGATCTCACCAAGCTGAGTGATTGGGCAACAAAATGGCAAATGAAGTTTAATGTGGATAAGTGTAAAGTAATGCACGTTGGAAAAAATAACCCCAACTATACATAGAATATGATGGGGGCTAATTTGGCTACGACAAATCAGGAAAGAGATCTTGGGGTTATCGTGGATAGTTCTCTGAAAACATCCACTCAGTGTGCTGCGGCGGTTAAAAAGGCAAATAGAATGTTAGGAATTAAGAAAAGGATAGAAAATAAGACCACAGAATAGATTACTGCCCCTGTATAAAACTATGGTACGTCCACATCTTTGAGTACTGTGTACAGATGTGATCTCCTCACCTCAAAAAAGATACTTTAGCCTTGGAAAGGGTTCAGAAAAGGGCAACTAAAATGATCAGGGGTTTGGAACGGGTCCCATATGAGGAGAGGCTAAAGCGACTGGGACTTTTCAGTTTGGAAAAGAGGAGATTGCGGGGGGATATGATAGAGAGAGATAAAATCATGAGTGGTGTGGAGAGGGTGAATAATGAATAACTTTTCTTTAGTTCCCATAATATAAGGACTAGAGGACACCAAATGAAATTAATGGGTAGCAGATTTAAAACTAATAAGCGAAAGTTCTTCACACAGCCCATAGTCAACCGGTGGAACTCCTTGCCAGAGGAGGCTGTGAAGGCTAGAACTATAACAGTTATAAAGAGAAGCTAGATAAATTCATGGAGGTTAGGTCCATAAAAGGCTATTAGCCAGGGGGTAGAAATGGTGTCCCTGGCCTCTGTTTGTCAAAGGCTGGAGAAGGATGGCAGGAGACAAATCGCTTGATCATTGTCTTCGGTCCACCCCATCTGGGGCATCTGGCGCTGGCCACTGTTGGCAGACAGTCTACTGGGCTATATGGACCTTTGGTCTGACCCAGTACGGCCGTTCTTATGTTATGTTCTAAGTCCACTGGAGTGGGCTGTGAAGATGGAGCCTGCTGAGAACTTCAGTTGGCCTTGCACCAGGCCTTTATTTAAATGCAACACGCATGTAACAGGAGAGCGGGCGGATGTTGGCACTCAAGCTGGTAGCAATAGGTGCAGCGGCCACTGCTTTGTTTCGCCATTTGACAAGAATTTTCTCTTTGAACCCGTCCAGGCAGTGGAAGAAATGAATGGCAAAGATATCAATGGAAAAATGGTATTTGTAGGGCGGGCACAGAAGAAGGTAGAGCGTCAGGCAGAGCTGAAACGGAAGTTTGAGCAGCTGAAACAAGAGAGAATCAGCCGGTACCAGGTAAGACCATGTGTGTGCACTCATCTTGTGGCACAAGCATACTGGTGAGTTTATAGGGAACATGCCCCATTTCGTTTCAGTCTCATCTTGCTCTCCTGACCTCTCGCTTAAAGGCAATGGGCTAGTATTGGCTGCAGGACCTCCAGGGGTCATAGCTAAGGTCATAGAATGAAATTTTTAGTGGCGTGTGAGAATGAAGTCTGTGTTCTTTAAGGACTCATGGCATAGTCTCCTGCGTTTATGAACACTGACCCCTTCCATGAATGACTAAGGACCACAGAGACCAGGCCAGCTTCAGTGGTTGTGGCTTATGGTTAAGCTAGGTCAGGAGACAGTTTGCATCTGAATCTTTCCTGCTCCTTGCAGGGCCGTGCAGGACTGGGGACACACGATGCTACAGCAAAGCAGAGGAAATCCAGACGGGCTCCTTTCCATTTGCACTGGGACTTGTCTCTACAACTCTGCAACATTTTCTACCCTTAGCTACTAGGGGAGAGAGCGCTGGGGTTGGAGCATTTCCACAGTTTCCTGGCTTTGGCAGATAGATCAATGGAGTTGCTTGATATTCCCTAGCTCAGCAGTTTCTTTGTTGGTAGGGCTGGTCATCTTTCCTATTATCCGCCTCACGCATTAGCATTCTCTCCTGTAGGGTGTCAACCTGTACATTAAGAACCTCGACGACACTATTGACGATGAGAAACTGAGGAAGGAGTTTTCACCTTTTGGGTCTATCACAAGTGCCAAGGTATTGTCAAGGGTTAGTCTTGGATTTCCAGACCTGAATGGGAGGGGCCATTACCCCATCTGGGCCCGGGCTGGGGGGTGATTCTTACATCTGTGCTTCTCTTAAGCACTGAAAATGCCTTGACCAGCCAAAATGTGGATGTCGTTGGGACTAGAAGGAATTTTTAATCGAGACTTGTATTGAAAACCGTGCTTCGTGGCTAAGGAGGTGGGGGCTGTGATGTGGCAAATTTGCTTGTGTTTGAAGTGACCCCTAACACCTAAGAGATGCCCAGGAATGCAGCGGGGAGTCATGCGGTTTAAAAAGTTGCACCTGAATCTTTCCCATTCCTTGCAGTGCAGTGCAGGCCTGGGGACACATGGTGCGAACAGCAAAGCAGAGTAAATCCAGACAGGTGGTTTTCCTCCCTCCTTGAGGGCTTGTCTCTACAACTCTGCAACATTCCTCCTGGCGTGAGGCTGTGGAGATTCCCTCCGGTAACACATACAGCTTCCGTTCACTGGCAGGGAAGGAGAGCTTTCTCTGGAAGGAGTAGCAATTGATGCTTGCTGGCTGATCTGCTCCCAAAAGGCAGCAGCCCCCTTCCGTGTGATACACCTGAAAGATCACTGAGTGGGCGAGTCCCCTGAATTGTGACTCGATTGCTATGCCTCTAGCCAATCCCTCGGCACACGCATCTGCCTTCACAATGCTGCCCTTCTGCCCACCCTGGTTTTAGGTGATGCTGGAGGATGGACGAAGCAAAGGATTTGGCTTCGTCTGCTTTTCCTCTCCGGAAGAAGCCACCAAAGCCGTGACTGAGATGAACGGGCGGATCGTGGGCTCCAAGCCCTTGTACGTGGCGCTGGCACAGAGGAAAGAGGAGCGAAAAGCCCACCTCACTAATCAGTACATGCAACGCATCGCTGGAATGAGAGCCCTGCCTGCCAACACAATCATTAACCAGTTCCAGCCAGCGGCTGGGGGGTACTTCATGCCCGCTGTGCCCCAGGTAAGCCCAGCTGTGTAAGTCAGTATGGCTTCACTACCAACATCGCCCGGCTTGAATCTCTGGCGCAGCAGTTGCCAGGACTCCGGAGTCTTTCTGCTGTGCCTTTCACCAGGCTGCAGCTCCGAATGTGAGCTGTAGGTCCGTGGGATCCGTTCGGTGGCTTCCTGGCTGCGTGCTGTTGTCATGTGACTCTGGGGCTCAGCGCACTGGACTCAGGAAGAGTGTCAAATCCTGTCGTAAAGAACGTTTTGTGTCACCGGCTTAGATACAGCAGCCTTCATTGTTTTCCCTGTCCTCCTTGCAGGCTCAGAGCAGACCCACTTACTATGCACCCAATCAGATGACGCAGATGAGACCTAACCCGCGCTGGCAGCAAGGGGGGAGACCTCAAGGTGAGCATGCTGGAAATGGATTTGTAGCTTTAAGGCACCTGTTTGTCTACGGGCATGTCTACATAACCTGTCGGATCCAGGAGCAGTGTTTGGTCCCCCGGGCATCGATTTATTATGTCTGCTATAGACATGCTAAGTTGAGCGCTCTCCCATCAACTCATGTACTCCTCCAGAAACCACAGTAAGTAGATCTAAGGAAGTCAGCCTCAGCTATGTCGTTCACATAGCTCAAGTTGTGTAACTTAGATCTATGGCCCGCCAAATGTAGACCAGGGCTTGCTCCCTGATTATCTGCCACTCTCCCTGTTGAGCCTGCGTCTGCTTTCTTGTGCCCCAGGACGCAGGAAGAAACATGCAGTTGTTCTTGTGCAAAGAACAGACTGAATGTGGTTCGTGGTCATGGCTGGGAGGCGTGTGGCGAGGTGCAGCCCCTCGTGCTGGGGCTGAAACCCTGGGTAGGCAATATCCCACACACCTGACTACATCTGTGGTTGGTCTGGGCTCTGCCATGCCAATCCCTGAGAACGGCCAGGACCGGGGTATTCTCTATACTCTCCTATGTGTTCATACTAGAGCGGTTTGCAGGGGTTTCCAGATCCAGAATCCCCTCCCTCTTTCCAAAGTGGGCAAGCTTGACCACAACGATGGAGACGTCCCCACTGAATCTCCTCCCATGGCTCCCTCCTTCCAGGCACGAGCGCACAAGCGCGGCTCCCTGCTGGGGGTCCAGGATTGGCTGATCATTTTGTTCCCCCTGTCATTGCCCTTCTCTCTCACCAGGCTTCCAAGGCATGCCGAATGCCATGCGCCAGTCCGGCCCCCGCCCAGCACTGCGCCATCTGGCTCCCGCTGGCAATGCCCAGGCCTCTCGTGGCCTCCCTGCTGCTGCCCAGAGAGTTGGTAAGCAGACTGGCTCTCGCTTTCTTCTCTGCGTTGGCGTGGGGAAGCAGGCGCTACAGAGTCTCTTGCGTTTCTGAAGACCGGATGTGCGTGGCAAGAGGCGGTGTGGAGCGCAGAGTAGCACAACAGCCCCCCATTAGAGTGGCGGAAGTTAGGGTAAAGAGAGCACCAAAATCTTTCCCATTCCTTGCGGTGCGGTGCAGGCCTGGGGACAGCTGGTGCCACAATACAGCAGAGGAAATCCAGACAAGTTGCTTTGCACTTCACTTGGGACTTGTCTCTACAACTCTGCAACACTCACTGCCAATGTGCCCTCTCAGTGTTTTCATCCATGTGCGGAATACGTTTTATGGGTGCTGAGGCATGTGCAGATGTGCACCACGGGTAGAAACACAGGCTGCCGGCTGTGGGCGCTCTGCTAATCAGCTGGGCAGCGTTTGAATTTCCTCTGCATGGCTGTAAATCTAGAGCGGAGATGATGGCCCTCTTCTGCTGTAGTACAAAAGCAGCTAACTTCTGTGCCTGGAGCCCCGGGTTAGCCACTCCAGAGAGGGAGACACATGCAGCAGGATCATTTTTTTCCTGCGTCTGACACAACAAACTATTACACAGCTCGGAATTCTTCGGCAGGTAAGAAAGGGCTTCCCTGGATTAGGGCAGAGTCTTATGCAATTTTAGCTCCCAGCATGTGTATTAAGAGGATGCATTGTGCAAAACAGGGCTTGTTCCCGCTTCATCCAGGACTGCCCTGTAACTTGGAACCACTGCTTTCCAGTCACTGGAAAATACGGATTCTGCACCGGTACTTGGCTCTGAATTGAATAAACTCTGCGGCAGGGAGGCGGTGGTGCTTAGTTGTTCACAAACTCTACCCAGTTCATTTCCAGCTAGAAGCACAGGGGGCTTTAGACTTGTGTGCCACACGCTTCTATGCAGGTGTGTAATCTGGTCCCCTCTTCTTCCTTTGCAGGCGTGGCCACTGCAGCCCAGAATTTAGCTCCTCGTCCGCCTGTTACTGTCCCGGCTCCCAGAGCCGTTCCTCCTTATAAATATGCCTCAGCTGTCCGCAGCCCTCACCCAGCAGTACAGCCTTTGCAGGTAACACGAGGGGCTGTGGTGCAGCTGGTAATGGTGACATTAGACCGTAGTAGCTACAGGAGCAGCTTGTGCAGGTCCTAAACTTGACTGTGACACGGATTTTTCTAGAAAGGTCAGATTGGACACATGGCAGAATCTGGGAAGCCAGTTGCATTCCTCCCCTTACTCGCTCTGCCTGTGCAGCTCAGTCCGGTCATCTTGTTCAGTCTCACAGGGACAGTCTTCTTGGGTCCTTGCCCCCATCCTAATCTCTGGCCTCATCTGCATCTCCTCTTGCCTTTGTCCTGGGATCCTTGCAGATACAGCTGGGCCAATGATTCTCATCCTGTTTATCATTGCGGCCTTGCGTGTGTGACCCGCAGTGTGTTACCTGGGCTGCATGCTAAGAGCCGCAGCGCTCCCCCTCAACTTCCTCCCCAGTCCCACATGCCCAGCGCCCCTACCCAGACCGGCACCAGGAGCAGATCCCTGGGCAGGCAGCTGGGCTGTGGACTGTGCACATGGGGCCAGGCAGCTAGGCCATAAACCCAGCAGCAGGGCCAGGTGGCCTGCAGCCAGACCCTGCCGCCCGAGGCTGCAGCTCAGGATCCCACTGTCAGACCCGTCCTCAGAAGTGCAGCGCCACCTAAAACCTGGGGATGCTGCAGCACACTCCATCCCTTCACTTCCCAGAGGGGTCCCCCCATAACCTGCCCACAGCCCCCCTCGGGCCACAGCTGCGTGCTAATCATGCCACAGATTAAGAGCTGCTGAGCTAGGTCCCCAGAGGTCAGCAGGCACATCTCTGCATGGCTGAACAGGAGATCCGGATGCTGCTGTTGTCCCAGTGTCGCATTTCCCCATTGAGTGGTCCCACCCCTCTCAGCTCGGAAGTTGCCCCTATGTAGGGTGTTTGCACAAGCAGCATGTCTCCAAGTCCCAGGATTCCTTTTAGAGGCCGGGTTTGCACTGGGGGAGAAAGTCGACTTAAGATGCGCACCTTTGGCTACGAGAATAGTGTAGCTGGGGTCGAGGTGCCTTACGGCGACTTTCTGCAGAGTCCCCACTGCGGGAGGGCGATGGGAGAGACTCTCCCATGGACTCTCCTTACTCCTCATGACCCCGTGGAGTACCCAGGTCGAGGGGGGCGCCATCAGTGGTCGATTTAGTGGGTCCTTACTAGACCCACTAAATCATGCCCTAGGAGATCGAGCTCCAGCATGTCGATCTCCGGGTTTGTGTAGCCCTGGCCTGAATTAAGTGCACCTTGTGGAACCTGTACTGAGCCAGTTTTGTCATGGGCCTTCCCAGCTGCGCAGGCTCTGCCACGGACTTCCACATAGCCCAGGGGAGGAGCAAACCCCAACCCTTCTTTGCCACGCTCCCCTCCTGAATTCTCCTATTGCTTCTTGTAGGCCCCTCAGCCTGCGGTGCACGTACAAGGACAGGAACCTTTAACGGCTTCCATGCTAGCTGCTGCCCCTCCCCAGGAGCAGAAACAGATGCTGGGTAAGTGAGGGGCAGGCACCTCCGGGCTAGAAGGATCCGTCTTTGGCAAATTGGGATATCTAGAAGGCTTGGCAATGCTCATTTCATTGGAACTGCAGCTTCTGCTTCCAGGAGTGTTGGCTCAGCCTTGCTGAACTGTCCCATTTATTTACATGGAGAGCTTTCCAGTGTCTTGTCCACGCTGCATGGACGGTAAAGTCCCTACGGCACTTCTGGGCCAGTTTTTCCCGCTGCCTGCACTGCTGTCTACCTGGTGTATCTAGAAGGCTTGGCAATGCTCATTTCATTGGAACTGCAGCTTCTGCTTCCAGGAGTGTTGGCTCAGCCTTGCTGAACTGTCCCATTTATTTACATGGAGAGCTTTCCAGTGTCTTGTCCACGCTGCATGGACGGTAAAGTCCCTACGGCACTTCTGGGCCAGTTTTTCCCGCTGCCTGCACTGCTGTCTACCTGGTGGCTGCCCTTCACCCTGCATCTAGCAGCATCTCCCAGTGGTGCTGTGCACATACGTTCTGAAGTGTGGGGGACAAAGTGGCTTAGAAATGGAAAGGTCAAAGCTAGACAGATGCTGGTATTTTACCTTCCCTTAGTCACACCTGCCGCCAAGCCCCTCAGAGCAGTCTGCAAAGACCATCCGTTTGAACTTTGCTTCCCTAGGAGAACGCTTGTTCCCCCTGATCCAAGCTATGCACCCCAGCCTCGCGGGGAAGATTACAGGAATGCTGCTAGAGATTGACAATTCAGAGCTACTGCACATGCTGGAGTCTCCGGAATCCCTCCGATCAAAGGTGCGTTTTCCCGCCCTGCATGGCAGGCTGCATTCGTAGGGTTGGCTGGAGGGTGTACCCCAGGTGGAAGAGGCTGTTGCCGTGCTGCAGGCTCACCAAGCGAAGAAAGAAGCTGCCCAGAAGGTGGGCGTGGTTGCTGCTACCTCTTAAGCCAGGAAGACTGGTGAGTGTATCTCTGCTCTCCTCTGCAATCGGAAGCTCTCGGTAGCAGAGTAACTAGACTAGTGTGTGTAGCCGGTGCAGCCTGCCTCGATGCGGGTTCAGGACTCCAGAATTCCAGCCCACTGCTGGCAGGTCAGTGCAGTTTTGCATCCAGCATTTCCTGAGGATAGACGCTTCAGAACTTTCCTTTTAGAGATCCTTCCACATGTCCTCGGCAGGAACTCATGGAACACGTCTGAAGTTCTCTCCAGCAGCTAACACGTCAGGGAAGGATAAAAATACAGGAGGCCCCCTGACTTGGCGACGTGATTGGTTCCGGGGGAAGCGTTGCAAGTCGGGAGCATCATAACTTGAACCCTCATTTACAATAGGTGCCATGTGCCGTTGTAAATGTGGGCTAAGGAAGTAAGTCAGGGAGTTTCCAAGGGTTTCCAGCCCCTTCGTCACTTGCAACCATTTTTGTAAGTGTGGGGGGTCGGAACTCTGGCGGTCGCAAGTTGGGGGCCTCCTGTATCCAGAAATGAAATTTGTGAAGACCATCAAATTATCAATCTGTGTCAGAGAATAGAATCCATCAAAAACATGCTGAATTTGCTCTTACCAGTGATTCTTGCCAGTTAGCTGCTAAATAAAGTTTTCAACTTCTCTCAAAAGCCTTGTATAGACGGGTGTCTAAAATTAGATCTTTCACATGCTTTTCTGTAGAAGTTTGCCCTCAGATTAGCCTGGAATTGCTATGGTCCAATAAAAGATACAGGTTGAACCTTTCTAATCCAGCACTCCCTGGTCCAACATGATTTTTAGCCGGATGGCCACTTATCCTGGACCCAGTTTCCTGCTGTCCCATAAAGTTAGTTTACAGCCACCCATCCTGGCTCTCAGTGTTCTGTGCTGTTATTCACTCTCATTTACCCCTCAATGTCCTCTAAGAGCCCAGTGAGCAATGGAGGGGTTGGCAATGCTGCTAGCCAATATTGGCCTTCCATGCTCTGGCGCATTCTCCAGTTTGGTACCAGTCAAGGCGTGAGGGAGCTGGACTAGAGAGGTTCTGTATCACCTCACCTCCCTTGTGTGTGGCGTATCTTGGGACCAACTTTGCTACAGAACGGAACATGGCACTTCCTGTGAGGCAGCTCTGGTGGGATATCACCACTTCTGGCCCTCAAGATTCTGTACAGTCTTCCGGGAGGCACCGTCACTTGGAAATGACAACAGCCCATCTGGCCGTTCGTTTTATTAAAGGACAGATGTTGTAATAAGCGGATTGGATTGTACATTGGTGTGTTTTAATGGGTGGGTAATGTTGGATATTGGCACACTGGTCTGGATTGAGCTATGTTGCCTGTAGAGACTTTAGTATTTTTTTCACCTGTTTTCCCCACCCTGTAGGATGCAAAGAAGCCAAATAGCCGTTCACAGACATCAGCTCAAGATGTTTGTCCATACTCCGCTGTCCTGCAGATCTCAACGCCATGCAACGTATCAGAGAACTATACTGCAGTTTGTAAATTAATCTTTAAAAATCTTATTTAAAAAGTCAATTCCATGAAACTTTAGGTTTCCAAGACCAGTATTAAGTTTGCAAGCTTTATCTTTGGGCCAGGACAGAGCTAACCTTTCTCTTATCTAAGCAGGACTTTGAGGATTTCTGATTGAAAGTTTTTTTTTTGTGGGTTTGGTTTTTAACTGAACAGTCCAGTTTGCAACGTCTGGAAAGTGTTTATCAATAAAGACATAAAACCTTTCATTAAATGGGTCTTTCCCCAGCCTGTTGTACAAAACCGCACTGAATTTTACTTGTCAGAAGAGCAGTTGTCACATGATTTAAAAACTGAAGTGTGATTTAATGTTGCTATTCTCTCTCTCATCATGACAATCCCAACTATCAAGCAGTCATGCTAAAATACTATGCAGTGTTGGGTCTAATTGGTATTTGAATGGGAGACCTTAAAGAAAGCCCAAGTTGTATTGGAAATGGTGGTGTTTTCCTAGGTGGGGGACAGCGCTCCAAAATCTGTCAGCGATGGTACTTGGTCCTGCCGTGAGGGCAGGGGACTGGACTCGATGACCTCTCAAGGTCCCTTCCAGTTCTAGGAGATAGGTATATCTCCAATTCAGTGGCAATGCCAGTCTCAGGGGTGCATTCACTGATAAAATGTCCACTATGGGATTGGTGTCCTTGTTAACAACCTCTGCCTGAACCCCCAAAATGGCTGCCAATCTATGCAGCAGATCCTGGTGGGCCCCAGCATCCATGGAGGGCAAGAGCGGAGCAGGGTCAACCAAAGCCTCATCTGGGGAGGATGACAGAGAAATATCTGGGGAGATATTTTTCAGAGAAGGGGTTCTGATTCCTTTCCATTTAAAAATCCCCAGGCACTGCAAGAATGGGAAAGATCTGACAGTTCTTCACGCTGAACATACTGTGGACCTCAGTTCCTGCTGTGTGTTCAGTTGGATATTCGATTGCATTTCTTTCACCAGTTGCCTAGGGTGGTGTAGGATGTGACATTTCGATTACTCCGCTAATCTGAGTAGTCGACAGAATTTCCATCGACTACTTGATTAGTCTATATGGGAGGAGAGGGCTGCTTTTGAAATGCAATGAGCTGCCTGTGGCTCTTGTGACATTCCAAAGGCAGAGGTGCAGCGAGGAACCTGGCAGCTCTTACTATATTTAAAAAGCAGAGGTGTAGCATCTGGGACCTGGTGTGAGCCAGGACAACTGCATCCCAGCTCGGGCCAGTCCCCGCTGCACCTCTGCCTGCCCTGCCCCCCTGCGAAGATGGTGCTGGGGGGAACTGGCTTTTAAGCCAGCTTCTGCTCCACCCCCTTGTTGCCTCTGATAGAGGTAGCAGTGTGTGTGGGGGGTGGGGGAGTGACTTGTTGCTTACATCGCTAGGGTGGTGCTGTGCTAGTAAAACTATTCTGCACCTTCGAAGGTGCAGATCTCAGCAGCAGATGGTTTGGGGTTGGAGGGGATTCTTTGGCATGGAAGTTATTCTAGAAATGACTTGCAGAGACAGCACCACGAGGTGTAGGGCTAGTACTGTCAAAGGATTTAAGAGAATCTCTACTAAAAAAAACCCTTCCATGCTCTCCAGTGTTTTTCAGTTTCTCTGCAGAGTGCTGCTTACATCATGGGGAAACAAAGGCTTAAAACAGCATTGCAAAGTATTTGAGATTCTTGGAAGAAAGGTGCTGGAGGTGTATAAAATGCTCTCCCGGTTTGTAGATTTCAATGCCCTCTCAGTTTCCCACTTTGTCACCCTGCTATGTTTTGTGTGAGCAGGGTAAGGTATTGAAATATACAAGAATCCCCCTCAGAAATCTGGATTCTGATATTTAACACTCTGCACCGAAACCCAAGAATAGAAGCCAGCAGAGCAAAAGTGCAGAAATGCAGGCCCCCCTACATTGCCTGAGGCAGGTCTTAAAGCAAAGAATTTGGAATTCTAATGATACTGAATCCTTTGAACAGGGAATTGAACAATATATCATAACAGAAATTGTGAAAAATCTGTTACCTCTGAGAGGTTACATGTTAGATCTGTTGCCTGAGCTGACCACGCTAATAGTTCTGTTTGCGCTTCTACGTGACAGCACCACAGTTCATAAATGTAAAGCGGAAGAATGGTTATGTTGCAGTCTTGGGGTAATCAGGAGTAACTTCCTGATTAGTTGGGAAAGCAGCTGGGTCCGAGCACTCCAGGGAGTTAGGCAGGGCCCTGACACACACTCATTAGGAATAGGCAGTTGGTACTCGAGTCAGACCCAAACACAGCTTTTGCACGCACCTTTAACACCTGTGATCATTGACTTTGCCATTCTGGATCTGGTTGTCTGTTTGCATTAACTCTTACATCTAAGCCGTGGGTACGTGAAGTGCTGGTTGTAATGCTAAGCTGATGCCACCCTATCACCAGCCTGGCTTGCAAGAGCAACTAGCTGATCTGAGGGTTGTGAAAATCTGCCCAGAGCCAACAGTTGCTTCAATCATCTAGTCATGTTCTAATGCAGGGTTTCCCAAAACCTGCTTTGTGGAGCCCTGGGGCTTCTCAAGAGTCCTGGGGCGCCATGAGAAAATAATGACAGTTGAATGACCTTGTTACTAATTCTCTGATACTTGTCTTGAAAAGAAAAAAACTAAGAAATATAGAATTCTAAAACATTGTCTTTATTTGCATACTTTTATGGTCTCGGTCAAATTGTCAGGCCTGGCTCTGCAGCTAAAAAAGTCTGGGAAACCCTGTTCTAATGGATGAGGTTTAAGAAGCTTTGTTGTGTGAATGGGGAGTTGAGCCATCTCAGTTACTAAGTTGTGGGTTAAAATTCCACTCTTAGGGGTTACTAATTTATCAAATCTAAAGCTAGGATGGCCCCCTGAGATCTAGTCTCCTCCCTTGTAGAGTACAGGTTCAAGGACCCCCCAAAATAATTCCTAGCACGGATCTTTTAGGTTATAGCTAGACTCACGGCTTCTTGCGTGAGAAATATGCAAATGAGGTTAAGTGCGGAATAACCTCTGCCCAACTGATCCAGCTACCTCTGAGCCTGTGTGAACCTAAACAGCTTTCACAGGTGTTAGTTTCAGCCACAACAAGGAGGCCCATGGCACCTTAAGGAGTGCTTTTCAAACGACAGGCCAGGACTGGGTGGGGGAATGGCTCTTGTTGCTGCAAGGCAATCAGGTGATGGGGGCGGGCGCTACGGCAGCTCCCTGCCTGTCCTGGTACCGCAGACTGGATTGTGGCCTGCTTGGCTCCTGGGTGTGTGGGGCAGAGCACACAGGGCTCCTAGCACTGCCCCTGCCCTGAGCACTAGCTCTGCATTCCCACTGGCCAGAAACCTGCTGCTGCTTCTGGGCGCAGCATGGTCTGCGGGGCCAGGAGAGGCAGGAAGCTGCCTTAGACCCCCCCCAATCTGCTGGCAGGGAACCGCTCGAGGTCAGCCCTGTCCCCTCCCGCACCCGACCGCTCTCAGCCCCGCCCTCCAGCCCCAGCACGCCGACGATTTTCTCCAGCGTGGGGCTGGAGAAAAGAAAGTTTGCAAGCTGCTGGCTCAGAGGCTCACAAGGCGGTTGAGTCTCACGCCTGGTTCACTGTCGGGCACCTGCATTGCCAGGACCGGAGCGAGTCCTTTAGCTGCCGGCGGCCTGGGTCTTGCGGGGGCCCCCGGACTCGCTCCGGTGCCGCTCGCTCCTCAGCGTCCCGGCTGCTGTTTACATGGCCTGTGGCTGGCGGGGCAAG